TTCAAAAGTCAACTCAAGATGATCACAGACTTAAATTTAATACCTGAGACTATGATGTTGCTGGAAGAGTACATAGAAGCAATACTCAAACTCATTGGCATAGCGGACATCTTCTTGAACAAGACTCCCAAAGCACAGGCAATAAAAAAATTAAACAAATGGGAATATAGAAAATTCAGAAGCTTTTGCACAGCAGAGGAAATGATCAATAGAGTGAAGAGACATACAACAGAACAGGAAAAATATTTGCAAACCACCTATCCACAGAATATCCAGAATATAACAGCAACTTAAAAAAACTCAACAACAAAGACCAATCAATACAGTCCAGAAATGGGCAAACAACTTCAACAAACAGTTCTCATTGAATACAAATAATCAACAAATATATGAAAAAATGCTCAATATCATTAGTCATCAGGGAAATGCAAATAAAAACCATAATGACATAGGACCTCACATCTGTCAAAATGTCTGAAATCCCAAAAGAGACTAATAAATGCTGGCAAGGATATGGAGAAAGGGAACACTGTACACTGTAGGTGGGAATTTAAATTAATGCAGCCACTTGCAAAACAGTGTCAAGACTTCTTTAAAAAATAGTAATGTACTTTCCAGATAATCCACCAATCCCACTACTGGGTATATACACAAAGGAGTTACCTGTTCCACCATGTTTATAGCAGCACTGTTAAAAATAGTCAAAATGTGGAATCAACCAAGGTGTACATTATCAGATGATCAGAAAAAGAAACTATTACACACACACACACACACACACAGAGGAATATTATTCAGCTATAAAAAAGAATGTTATTCGGAGATTCCAAGATAGAGGATTAGGGAACAATGCATTGCACTAGGTGAGGGATAAACATGAAAAAAATGTAGTAAGGGTACTCTCAAGAGAAAATTGGAGACAAAACTTCACTGGAAATCCAACAAGAAGAATAATGCTGTGGACCCATATGGAGGGTGCAGACATGCAGCATGAACCCAAACACAATGCACAACTGCAGCAGCCGAGAACCAGAGTGGGCAGCAGCTTGGAGATGGAGGTAAGATGAGACAGTAACAATTCATGGTTATATAGCTACAGGGATAGTGTGGCTTCAGTCTGAACTGGAGCACTGAGGGCTAGTGGTTGCTAGCAGATGCCTACAGTCTCAGTGGATGTAGAGGGGGCACGTGTATCTCACCCCAACTTCCCCAAAACAGCACTCACTACCTGGCTGAAAAAGGGTGGGCACCATTTTGCATTTGGGCGGGAGTTGTGGAAGACTGTGCACATGCAGAGCAACTGCCTGAGACAGAACAACATCTTCTCGCCAGTACTGGTGGCAATGGCAGGGAGAAAGCAACATTTGGCCAGTGCCTCTTGTGTACTCCAGGTGATCCAGAGATTCTAGTGGAGGGAAAAATCTGCAGCCCCCACTGACTTTTAGCCTGTCTGGAGGGGGCTGGGCAACCATGTAGTACAGTGAGGTGCCTGCAGCCTCCCAGGATCAAGAAGCCTAGGCAGAGCTGTCTCAGGAAACATCTGCCTCTCTGTTGACTCAACAGGCTGGCAGGGAAAAAAGAAACCTCTCTATCCAGCAACTGTGCAAGCCTTGTGTGCTGAGACAGTGGGGACTCAGTGGTTGTTACATTAGAAGGTGTAGGGTGCAGCTGGATCTTTGAGGAATCAATAGGTGCAGCTCCATACACTCTGAGCTCCTTGGTTGCCTACAGCAGGTCATTTCAGAAGGAATTGTGCTCAGAGTAAGGATAAAGTCATCAGAGGAGAAAATAAAAATCTACTTGATAAATGCATAAAAACAAATGCAGAAATTCAAGCAACCAGAATAAGGAAGACTTAATGGAACACAACATTAGGAACACAACAACATTTCAGCATTAGAATGCAAAGATGAAGAGATTGAGGAAATGCCAAAAATCGAATTAAAAAAAATTGATAGGATTACTCAAAGCAATCAGAAGCAAATCCATGAATTAAAGAAAACCATACATGACATAAAAATTTTTACTATGAAATTGAGATTTGAAAGAGAAGTAAAAATGAAATATTAGAAAAGAAGAATTTGGGGCCGGCATCATGGCTCACTTGGTTAATCCTCCACCTGCGGCACTGGCATCCCATATGGGCATTGGGTTCTAGTCTCAGCTGCCCCTTCCCCAGTCCAGCTCTCTGCTGTGGCCCAGGAGGGCAGTGGAGGATGGCCCAAGTGTTTGTGCCCCTGCACCCACATGGGAGATCAGGAAAAAGCACCTGGCTCCTGGCTTCAGATCGGCAGTTCCGGCCATAGCAGTCATTTGGGGAGTAAACCAACAGAAGGAAGATCTTTCTCTCTGTCTCTCTCTCTCTCACTGTATATATCTCTACCTGTCCAAAAAAAAAAAAGAATTTAATGGGTCAAATAAAAAAGAGGTGGAAAGCCTTAAGAAAAGACTTGGCAAGGCAGAAGAAAGAATATCCAAAATAGAAGGGAAATCTTTGAAAATCTTAGTCTTCCAACTTTGGGGCTTCCAGTCGGATCCCTGGAACTCTCAAAGGATGATGTTTGAGTCAATTCAAATTATGGAAAGTGAATTAAAATGTTGTAAATGATGTCAGACCTATGTTGTATTCATATTTTTGCTTTCCCGCTAGAGTGGTCTTATAAAAATGAGAGTAAATTCTGTGTATACAAGCTTTTTATGTTGTTAAAGTAAGCCAATACAGATTGATTAAGAAAATTGGGTTAATGCAAATGCCCTTCCATTTGCTTGGTTCCCTTGCTCAGTTTTACATGTCTTTGATATGCTTTAAACTTGTTTCTTTTACAGATCTGTTTTTGCAAAAACTAATGTCTCTTTTTAACAGTGTCTGCTTAATCGGTTACTCTGTCATTTCTAAAGTTAGGTCGCGTAAGCCCTTTTTAACTCTCTTAAATAGTTCTGAGTTATGTGATGCTTTTGTGTGCTAACTCTTATGTTCAAGGTTTTTTATTTCTGCTTTATTCGACAACAAGAGACCTAAAATTCATGTTCTGCCAAGGTAATCGATTGCTTATTCTACTGTCTCTGTTAAGTTTAGATTAATAGAAAAACATTGTCTTAAGAAGCTATGTTAAATATCATTATGATTAAATCTGGTCTAAAAGTGTTAAAATTAACCTAACTAAATAAATGGCTATCATTTCAGGATGTTAAAGAATTATATTTTGACCAGATACTCTAAGTTCTCCTGGCACCTTTAACGGACTTTCTAAAAAAATCAAAGTTCTAAATTCTCTAAACTTTTGTATCTCCAGAGGGTCCTGGAGATATCAAAAGATATACCTCTCATCTTACAGAGATCATAACCAATTGGGATGTTTAAATTAAAAGTGCTGCCAAGATTTAAAATGAATCAACACTCTACTGAAATTCCTCACAACCTACAAGGACAATCATCAGAAAACAAAATAAGATTTTAAAAAACCAACTTATAAAACAAAAAGGGGGAATCATACCCCCACAAGACCAGCTATGAATGGCCATGCTCACCTTAAATATTTTTTTAACTTTTATATAATGAATATAAAATTCCAAAGTACAGCTTATGGATGACAATGGCTTCCCCCCCATAACGTCCCTCCCACCTGCAACACTCCCCTTTCCCACGCCCTCTCCCCTTCCGTTCACATCATGATTCATTTTCAAT